CAAGAAAAAAAGGCAAGAAAAAGTAAAAGAAAAAAAACCATATACAAACATTGTAGGATTGAATAAAAGTTTTAAAGTGATACTAATTTAATGTTGTATATTAAAATATCTTGTATCAAATTAAAATTTTAGAACCATTATTATTATTAACATCAATGCTTAGTAACTGACTAAAGCAGTCAGCATAATATGAATTATTAGGAATAAAGTACAAAAGTTTCTATCTTAATCCAAAAATTCTATCCTATTTAATAAATTAAATTTAAGCTAATATATTAAAACCTTGTGTTAGGAGAAATATAATAACCACAGAATTTAATTAAGAAGACATTCTGGAAACTATATAGAAAGAAAAATAGTCAAGAATTAGGTGTTCAAGGAATTTTTTTGGCTAAATGAAAGAGAAAAATGGATCAAATAAAAGAGAAAATGGATCATAAATGAAGAAACTGAAAAATTTGCGAAATATGGATACAAAATTATGTAAATACACTTTTTCACAAGGCATGAAGTTACATGAAGATATTTGGAATTCTTAAGCATATGGTATAGTGCAGTCTTAGATCGTTCTGATGATCACTCAAAATTACCAGAATGCTTATAGAAAACCCCAAATAAATAATATCAGAAAATGCTAAAGGCTTACCAAACCAAACCACAACTAGGAATACTGAATTAAAACAAATTGTAACTAGAATATACTTTTTTTTTCTTTCCAGATTAGAATTTTGTGTAAACTCAGGCACTATAGGTTTGTCAATAGTATTTTAATATTTAGTGTACAAATTCAGCTATTGTAGCTTATTCAATAAACACTTATTAAACAATGAAACAAACCAGGACTTTGTATGAACTTTTAAGTGCTTAACCAAAAACAGTACCTCAGAGAGGACAGCCGTGCATAAGCAGAGAATGCTTACTCTTTCTTTCATTTCAGATTCATAGACTGCTCTATCAAAACACCAGAAACTGAGCTCAACGTAGAGGAGAAGCTGGTGGTAAAAAAGGAAGCTAGTGCTAAAAAAAAAAAAAACATAGTGATCTACAATACAAAAAAATCATTATCAAAGAGAATATAGTCATTATTAATTTGAAAAGTTATGTTAGGAGTTAAGAGCTCTATTGTCTCTTAGTAAAATTCTACCTACAAAGCAACAGCTCAGAAAATTTGATCTCCCTTTAAAATGGGGAGAAAAGTAGGGTTATTACTGAGTTTTGTTTGCTTTGCTTTCCTCTTCACATACTATTTTGAACATGTGATTGAAAAATAGCAGCAGGAAGTCGCACATATTTTCAAGTTACTGTGCCACAAATGTGGTTTAGTTTCAAAGGCTTCAAAAAGGTTACAAATTTTTGGATAAACAATTCAGTAGCAAAGCAAAGAAACACAAAGAAATGCTCATTGAAAGGATGAATTAGAAATAAAATTCACCAAATTAAAAAGTTCACAATTTAAAAGCCTGGAGAAAGCCCCATTCACTAGTAATCACTTGTTACATCTGTTGCCAGCTAAGTAGGGTAAAGTGGAAAAGGAGTTTCCTCGAAAATAAAGAGGAAAAATTGATGCCCTTGAACATTTTACTTCCTTCTAACAGTTTTCTCCTGTGCATCCATTTCTTGGTTCACAAAACTCAAAAACTAGTATCATTTCTAATATAAAAAATCAGCATCCTTACCCCTCTGCTTACCAAATGCCCCTCCCATCATCGCCTTTAAGCCAGGAAAAATGCCTGACCATGGAATACATTAAGAAGCACTTGCTCTGAACATTTGTAAATTTGCTCATACAGATGTGAGCACTGCCTCATTTTCTAAGATTGCTGGAAGGGCAAATTTAGTAATACATAGATCAGCCCAAGCAGCAACTGTACTTGTGCACAGAAAGAAACATTTTAATCTGGTTACACTTTATGTTTTAACTACAAAGCTATATAGCTATTTCTATGTTGTATCGAAGCATTTAAAATTCTTGAAATATTCGCCGAATCAGAAGTGTTTTGAGTAGCAACCTAACAACTTCGGAAATCTTTCTCTGAAGAATCACTTAAGCTATTAAGTTTCTGAGAAGTGGAGTACTTCCTATTTTAGCAAATGAAAATAATTTATGATGCAAAGGAGGATAATGAAGAATTAGCATATTTTTACCTGCCCCAAATTTTTGAAATAAATCAGGCTGAAAATAAACAAAGAGAGACCTAAACTCTATTATGTTAATGAAGAGAGTTGGGGAATTCAAATTGTCAGTGATGTAGTTCAAATAGGAAAAAACTGTTTCCATGTTGCTACATATGTAATGAAGCCTCAGCTATGTTGGGGAATTCTAGGAGTTGAAATCCACAAATCTTAAAAGTTGCTAAGGGTAAGAAACACTGGTATATACAGTCGACCTTCCCTTAAGGTTCAAGGCAAGTATTATATTGTTATGCCTTCACATACAAGGTTTTACATAATTTCCATTCTTGGACCATCACCACGTAAAATAGAGAAGTTTCCAAGCCACTTAAAGTATGAAAGTCTCCGAGTTCAATTTCTGATAGAGGATTTGAACCTTCCACATCTGGAGAGTTCCTATAAAAAACAAAAATTGGTTACAAAGTACTTCCTGGTAGTCAGTATAATTGAAATAAATCTTACAAGAGTCTCACCTTTACCTTCTAATCTTCCTTTTGCCGTATTCTTTGATACCATCTACAAATGAACCCTTATACATAACATCCTGATTGATTGTTGTTCCCAGATCATTGTAAACCCATTCTACCTTTGCTGTTGTTACTGACAGATCACAAATACTTCCAGAACCCCACTGAGTATGCGCAAAGGTAAGCAGGAAACACAATGAGCAGTCTGTCTTTCCAATAAAAAAAGAAAGAAAGCACCAAGACAGATATCTACGAATGTATTTTTCACCAATGCAAGAGCACAGAAGGAAGAAAAAAAGCTGGGTTTCCCCAAACTACAGAGTAGTTGGTGGTTTTTAGTTTTTGTTGCTTTCAAAGTACCCTACTAGCATCCATCTAGTGCTGCATGATTGATAGGAACATGTTCTTAAGCAGACATGAGTCTAATTCTTCTCTAGTAAACCTCAATGACTTGCAATGAAAGTTAATAGAAGGCTGCATATCAGATGCAGAATAAAAATACAATTTACAGTTCTGGATAAGACTGACAGCTTGCACAATACAATGCTTATTCAATGTAAGTAAGATGAAATACAGTACAGATAGTCCTCAACTTATAACAGTTCATTTAGTGATCGTTCAAAGTTACAACAGCACTGAAAAAAGTGACTTATGACCATTTTCCACAGTTATGCCTGTTGCAGCATCTCCAAGATCATGTGATCAAAATTCAGATGCATGGTATATGATTCATATTTATGATGGTTGCAGGGTCCTGGCGTCATGTGATCATCTTTTGCAACTTTCTGACAAACGAAGTCAATGGGAAAGCCAGATTCACTTAACAACTGTGTTAGCAACTTAACTGCAAAGATTCATTTAACAACTGTGGCAAGAAAGGTCATAAAACAGGGCAAAACTCACTTAACAAATGTCTCAGCAACATAAATTTTGGGTTCAATTGTGGTTGTAAGTTGAGGACTACCTGTATAAGAAAAAACGGAGAGCAGGGAAAGTGAGATTTGCTAGGTTTATATTCTGCCTTTCAAAACTTCAAGGCATGATGTGGGAAACTTTATTTTATCCTATCAATTTGCTGGGATAAATTAGACGAAAATGCGTAATTGTCTAAAGTCACCAGTGAATTTCCACAGCTGAGGGTGGAACTTGTAGATGGATTTCCCATCCAGTCCTTTAACCATTATTCCTCAAAGCAAGGTTCCCCAAAGTGGTCAATATAGGTTTCTCCCCTCCCCCAACAATTGATGGGACTATAGAGCTGTGGTGGCACAGTGGTTAGATTACAGTATTGCAGGCTAATCTGCTGACTGCCAAACTTTGATTCCTACCTGCTCAAGGTTGACTCAGCCTTCCATCCTTCTGAGGTTGGTAAAATGAGGCCCCAGATTGTTGGGGGCAATAGGCTGATTCTGTAAACTGCTTAGAGACAGCTCTAAAGCCCTCTGAAGCGGTATATAAGTCTAAGTGCTTTTGCTACCCTAGGAGTTGACATTATTTGTAGTGCTTTTAATTAAATAGCATTCTTTATATTATTTCATCTTATGATTTATGATGAATGTATTTTTGTGAGGATTATGATCATGATTTATCACTTGTTGCTTGTATGTACACTGAGAGCTTACACACCGGAGACAAATTCCTTGTGTGTCCAATCACACTTGGCCAATAAAGAATTCTATATAAGTTTGGGAGTCAATAAGCTGAAGACTTTGAGGAACCCTGCCTTACAGCAAAGATAAAGAATCCCAGTTTTATAATAAAGTAGCTCTAATGTGCTTCATTGAGAATTCAACCCAGTAGGAGTAGTGAAAGAAATAACTCAATATTTCACTTCCTGGCACACAACCTGCATATTAACAACTCGTTTAGAGTTAGTACTCTTTTTTATAAGTGCCACGATGTTGCTAAAAGAGATAAACTTCGTGCCCCTCCCACCCCGTGCATAAAACAGATACGAAAAGTCTTAAGCCTTTTTGCGTTCCCAAATACTAAGGTTTCCCCCGAGTTTTGCGCGGTTAAACAAACGGCCTTTGCGTATTAATGTTTCTCCATGGAGCACCGACAAAATTCGCCTGAATTAAGGAAAGTGGGGAGCTAAGGAATATCTGGGGCTATGGGGCATGCCTCTGGCATGACGGGCAACCCTCACCGACGGGAAACACGAGGACTGCAGCGGCACCCTCCGTTCGCACGTCCAGATCCGAGAAAGCGCCCGGAGCCTCCTCCGTTATTTCTAACGGAACGTCTCCACGCCCACGTCCCGCCCGCCTCGCCTTTTAAACCCCGCCCCCTTTCTCCAGTAACGTTTCCCTGCTCCGCCTGCTCTGTGATTGGTCCAGCTTACTCCTTCCCCGCCAAAGGGGGGCCTCGCCTTCTTTCCTCTGAGCTCTCTCGGGTGGTGCCCTGCTGCTCTCAGTTCCGCACTCCGTGACCGGGCAAGCGATTGTTCTGGTTGGCACGGGTTAGGCGGTGCCTCGGCGGGAGCAAAGGTGCTCCTTTCCTACGGTCGAGCGCCCCGGGGCGCCTCTGGGGACCGCCTGCCCCTCCTCTCGTCGGGGACCTGACAGCCAGCATTGGAGGCGCCAGCATGGCCAGTCCTAGAGAGAGCAACGGCGGCGGCAGCAGTAGCCGCCCGAGGAGCTGACGAGAGTTTGCCCTCCATCACCCGTTCGCCGTCGGCCGCTTAACCACGGGTCGCCATCGCCTGCCTCCATTCAGCCCAGAGCTCCAGCCGAGCGGGAGTCGTGTTTTTGCGAAGAGGCGGCGGCCGTGGCGGCGGCAAGGGATTCGAGAAAACTTCCTGTCGCTGGGAAAGGACGACGAAGTTGCCCCCGGCAGCGGCTGCCCGAGACGACGGGCACGGGCTAGTCCCGCTCCTAGCCCGCTCTGAGTGAGGCGGCGGCGGGGGCGGCTGCCGCAGGGGAGCCTTGCAAACGGGCCGCCCCGCGGTTGTCCCGCGGCCGTCGTCCTCCTCTAGCCGGAACTTATCAGCGGGGCTGTCATGCCAGCCGTCAGCCTGCTGCCGCTCTTCGGTAGCCCCGCGAGCCCGGGCGCTTTGGGGGGCTCCTTAGGCGGGGGGGCCTTGGGGGGCCCCGGAGGGCGAAAGGTGCCCGGCCCCAGCGGTGCGTTCCGGCTGACGGAAAAGTTCGTGCTGCTGTTGGTCTTCAGCGCCTTCATCACGCTTTGCTTCGGGGCCATCTTCTTCCTGCCGGACTCCCCCAAACTGTTCAGCAACGTCTTCTTCCACTCGACCTCTCTCCAGCAGCCGCCGCCGGGGCCGCCCGCCCAGGGCGATGCGCACCTCCCGCCGCCGGCGGGTGCGGGGAGTAGCAGCAGTTTCGGGGCTGGCGCGGCGGAGGAAGCGGCGGAGAACTTGGCCAAGATCCGCGAGGATCATGAGCGCGCTTTGCGAGAGGCGAAAGAGACGCTGCAAAAGCTGCCCGACGAGATCCGCAGGGAGATCCACCAGGACAAGCTGAAGCTTCTCCTGCAGGACAAGTTGGGCAGGGGAGAGACGGGGGCTCCCGGGTTGCCCGACCTGCCTTTCCGCAAACCTATCGGGGCCGTAGGAACTGAACCCAGCGATCCCGCCGTCCAGCAGAAAAGAGAAAAGATCAGAGAGGTGAGTAACTACTGCAGGCACTGAAATATACAGCCCTCGTGATTTCTTCCCCCCCCCTCCCCACGACCTCTGGAGTGGTCGGTCTCTTTTCTCTTTCTCCAAGGGTAAGTTGGTTTGTTTATTTGCACTCTTCTTAAAACCTTTTTCTTGCTATTCGCGACCTTCAAGACCTGCTTCCGCCGCTTGTTTGCAAGCGAATTAACAGCTATTGTGCTTGGGTGCGGTCCTGTGATGGACACGACATCTTTTGACGTGAGCAGGAACTTCTAATGGGGAATGGATGGGACACGTGTCGCTCTTGTAAAATTGTAAAATTGACAACGTGGGCAGTCTTTGGAGAAAGCAAATTGTACCAACCCTGTTTCTCAAGACCTTGGTCCAAAGCTGAAACATGGTGACAATATACACTGATTTAGCTTTAATCTCTACAGTTGAGAAGCCAAGGCTAGAGAAGATGTGATGAGGAGAATGGTGTCAAAGCCAGAAGAAGGGAAAGAAAGAAAGAAAATGTCTTGTGTTTTTACTTTAATTTTGCTATTAGAAACAACTACTGCTAGAAAGTTTTTTTTGGGGGGGAAAGAAACAATATAATACAGTATAATATGATAAAATATTTCTGTGATCAATTGTCGCTCAAGATTTCTATCCACAACTGTAACATTTAATGGATAATATGGGGGGGGGAATTATTGAAAAACATAGCAGCTTTACAAACTAATTACATTTGCATACCAGTCTCTGAACCAAATTTGTTTAATATTCCAAGATAAAATTAAAGAACTTAAACCTTAACGACATGTTTTGAATTAACAGACTCATCTGTAACATGTTAACTGGTGGATATCATTACCTTAGAAGATAAATATTGCTAAAAGTATAGTACTGTTTGACAACCGGTAGTGCCCGTTTTCTAATGCTGTAAAGTTTAGAGTACTGTCCTCGTCATACCTTGGAATTCTTGGATGTCTTTCCCATAACTAATATGTTCCTATCTGAAGTAAAGAAGAAGTGTGATATTGTTGGCCACCTTGAGTGAATTAGTGTGCTGGGGAAACAATGGTAAAATAGTATTTTAAACTATTATTGGGAATTATACTGTACAGGTAAATCTCATGTTTGTTCATTGAAGGGGTACTAAAACCTTTAAAGCTATAAAGAGTTTTCAAAAAGCCTTTATATGGAATAAAACACCTGCAAATAAAGTAAGTTATGTAGCAGTGAATATGAAATGAACAGGTAGGTATTTACAGGTAAGAGTGATGAATGTTGTAGAAATTATTTAGACTATCCTGCACTTGCAATAAGGTCTATTTAGTGCAAAAAGATCTAGTTAGCATGATATATTAAGCAATATATTCCATAAAATATTTGTGCAATTAAGTACCACTTCATTAATGCTAGGAGTCAAAAGTGCTGAAATAGAAGAATTGGATGAGCTCCCAGGAAGGTATATCTATTATCTAGAACAGTGTTTCTCAACCTTGACGATTTTAAGGCATGTGGACTTCAACTCCCAGAATTCCACAGCCAGCAATGCTGGCTGTGGAATTCTGGGAGTTGAAGTCCACATGCCTTAAAATCGTCAAGGTTGAGAAACACTGATCTAGAACAAATTGCTATGCAGAATCTGGCTTGTGCTATCTATAAAGTTATGTCATATGTGACGATTCAGGATATACTGTAGGGCATTTGACCTCTGATTTATAAGATACCTATTTTCTGAACTTTGGAATAGTAAATAAATCTGATAAAAATGTTCCAAAGGTTGCATGTAACATTAATGATGGATTACATGCATGCCTGCTCAAGTTTTTTTATTTGGGAAATTCAAGATAGTTAATCTCTACAGTTGGTTACATTTATGAGATTAAATTGTCCATTAAATCTGGAAAGTTTCAAATTAAAACTGCTACTGTTATCAGTGACTACTCCATGAATCTGATATTATAGAATTGTAATACTATACCTGTGCTGCATATTTATATGATAAAGAGCATTTTTCAGGCATTTCTGTCACCATCAGTGAAAGATGTTAAAGCTGTCTTCAAAGCTTTTAGAGTCATTTTCAAAGAAGTTGATGAAATTGTATATGTTGTGTTCCAAGAATTTCTGCCTAGAAATTTTTTATCTCTTAGAACAGATTTTCAGAGTAGTGTAGACTTCTTCATTTAGCTCTTTATCTCAGGAATATGCAGTGTGCCAGTACAACATTGTACATTCTAAAATGCTGCCATCATACTCTCTAGCATGTGGCCACTGTGAAGTTTACAAAAAGTAAAAAACATAAAAAGATGCAGCTGCTCTGTGGATGTGCATTTTAATTATAGATGAAAATACTGCATATTGATTTATAATATAATCTAGAATCCTATCTGTAAAATTACAATAGCAGGAGAATTCCCCAAGTGTAAGAAAACAGTTCATTTGTTAGTTGTTACCTGGTAAGAAGCACAACTTAGAGGTATGCATAATTTGAGCCCTCATTGAATTTCATGAGGTCTCTTAATGAAGCTGGAAGAAGATATTATGTGACTTGTGGGGCAGTAAATTTTTATTGTTGCTCTAGAGACAGGCAAAAAAAAAAAAAGAGCCTGAAGAAAATCTGTGCAGACTGTTGAAGGAATAAAAACATTTTAAAATCAAATCTCAGAACATTGTGTTGCCATTTCAGCTGGTTTTTTGTGGTCTTTCTACTGTTCATCAGGGGTTCCCAACCAGGGGTGCTCGCACAGACGATATTCCAGGGGGTGCGAAAACTTGGCCTTTCAAAATTATAATGTATATGCATAATTCGTTGCAGATATTTCGAACTTTTGTAAGGGGTGCGAGAATATGCGGTGTGGGGTGTAGAAAAGGTTGGGAACCACTGGAGTAGATGAACACAAATGTAGATTTTCATGCATGTGCTGTCATCTACTGCAGGATATTTTGCTTGTTCAACAAGTTCAACATTTTGTCATGAAGGCTTTCATTTTCTTGTTAGCATATTTACCACTGGAAAAAATGTAAACTCTATTTAAGCAGTTATCTAGCTTGAATTCTCTTTAAGTGTAATCTCATACAAAATCCTGAATAAGTGAACAAAACATAACCTCAACTTCAGCATGTTTGATGTCTATGTCCCTGAAGTTTCCTTTACTTTTTTGTCAGTTTTAGAGAAGTAATTTACACTGCTTTTTTTGGCATGGGAGAGAGAGTTTTTTATACTCAGGAGTTAACTGTTGTAGAACTTGTAGAAGTCCCAGGTATTTGCCATAGACTGTAAAGGTCTATAAAATTTCCAAATCAGTGAAAAATACTTTTAAATGACCTTCATCAATCTAAAGTCACTTTAGATTTCACTATGATTGCTATCTGAATAACAATGAAAACTAGTTTTAATGGATTAATTGGAAAAAGGGTTTGTCCATTATTCTCCACAGGGCTGGTCAATTGAAAAGCATGTCATTACAGCAATCCAGATAACTTCATTTGCGTTACCTGTGTCTGCATGATATCAACATATTATGTCAAGAATATCATTTCCATAATGCAGTTATATAAAATGATGTAAACTGCTGCAGAATTTTATTCATTGCATTGACATCTGGGAAATGGACGTTGCAGTGATTTTGTTTGGCCAGATTATCCTGTGTGTAATTGATCTATAGATTTAGTAGCATAATTGGCTAAGTGATTTTGCAACAGCTAGAGTATAAAGCATTCAGGTTATAAAAAAGCTTCCCCACTTGTTTATGTATCTGACATAAAGTTTTTCTTCCTATTAAATTTCTACATTATTTAAAAGTTGCCAAGTTCTGGGATCAGTGTAGCATTCTGAGACAAAAATATCTTATATTGAAATCTAGAACTAAGTATTTAGCTTTAGGACATTATCTATCTAAAGGAAGGATATTCCATTAATATGGGCTCCTTTAACTTTCAGCTTTCTACCATGGCAGGGTTTTTTTATGATTCAGTGGTAAAAGTAACTTTTTTCCAGATTTTGAATACATTTCACTAGTACTGCTTCCTGCTGGTTTTCTTTCTTTCACTAGTACTGCTTCCTGCTGGTTTAATTTTTGGTAACATCTCTTCGAAATGTACAATACAAGCATATTGCAGTCTTGAACACAGTCATAATAAAGCTATATGATACAGTCTTATTCTGCTCATGTAAACTTTGAAAATCTCACTTGTTCAACAAAGCTTTTTAGAAAGGATGCATTGAATATACAGTGATTGAAGAATATTTTAGAGTACACTCCTTAGTAGTGCTAGCTGAGACAAAAATATTTCTTTTTTTTTAATTATAAAAACAAAATAAAACTCCTTAAGTTTGCTTTCTAAAGGCTATTGTTTGGGCTACAGTTTTATAAGGTTGCTAAGGCTATGAAATTAATAGGGTTGTGCAGAACCACAGGGAACGTTTAAGTCATGGCAAAACTGCAAGTGAAAGAGTTAGTTTTCAAAACTTTGTGGCAGATCTCTTTGAATGAAAATTCGGAGCAGCCTAATGAAAACCTTCCAGCCCAGGTTATCTGTTTATGTATCAGTTTACCAAATAAATAAATAAATGTATATGGGCAAGTGCAATGAACGTTGCTGCTGAGACTGCCAATTTGTCCCTGAAGTGAAGCAGCTTACCTCATCGCAGTCCCAGCCAATTCTCCCAGTGATTTGTACAGCTGTAGCATAAATGCCATAGCATTTGGAATCTTAAAAAAAAAAAAAGCTAATCTAATCTTGACAAAATAATAGCAAAAAGAATTTAAACTCTAGTAACACAGTATTTTAAATTTCAAAATAGGATGTTTTATCATCAGAGCAAAATGAATTCTACATGTTTTGACCTGATTTGATATTGCTATGTGATAATGTAATTATATTTCCATTTGACTAAGCCATCCCTCCCCCCCCCAAAAAAAACCCATTAAAAATAATGTAGATACTTGACCCTCCTTTTTAACTATTTGAATCTGTAGAAACACAAATTTGTCAGGAAAAGTGCAGTAGAATGG